GATCCGTTCAAGGCATGACAACAGACGTCCGTTAAATGTCCATTTCATGTCCACGGACGTTCGGACGTAAATTGGACTTAAACTGGACGTCCACAGGACATCCTGTGCTATCTGGGTTAGTAGCCAAAGATCGAATTTTCCTCGCGCAACAGTGTGTCCTCTCACGAGACGATTTGCACAGATATACGTAGACGTACACTGTAGACAGTCGCTTATAGCTGTCGAGTATCGAGGAAAAACGATAAGTGTTAAAACCTTGTTAGAAATCGCTTCATCATTAAATGTCTACTGACATTTACATAAACCGCCAGAGGAAATCTGGAGAGAGGCGTGTGAGCAGCACTTAATTATCTCGAGCGATGCAGTATTCCTTTAAGAGGATCCCGTAGCCTGTCTGTATTACCGACAGAATTACCATTTTCGTAATACGAACCTTTCGTACGTCGTATTGAATTCATGGAATCAAAAATGCTTGCGTACAATTACAGTATATGCATTGATGATCCCGGGAAACTCCAATTTTATACCAAAAAATGAGTAAAAATTACAAAATTCATATATCGATCACATATAACCTCATTTAGACGAACTGTCAACTCCGTTATACTTGTGCTTCGTATAAAAGTTCTACAACTTGTACTCACATGAAACTGAGTTTCCCTGGATTCGATGACATGTAGAATTACTGTGAAACCCTCTAAATTGGGATTAGACGTTTAAAATAAGAGTATAGTTAGTATTAAACTTTCGTGTTTATGTATGGGTGTGATGTATCGTAGTAGTGTGTCCGTGTGCTCATGTATATTACGAAAATGGTAATTCTGTCGGTAATACAGACAGGCGTTCTTCGATACGTTTAAAACATTATTGCGCAAGTCGTTATGCAAGCAAATTCCTGTTGCCGCTTGAATAGCTTTACAATTATTGGCTCAGAATATTAAAAAAAAACTATACGTCACTCTACTATAAGATTTATTTATCCTTATTTGTATTAACAGATAAAACCGACAATTAAATGTGAATTTCAAGTAACTTAATATTAATACACGACAGTGATGCTTTCTTTTTCTACATAATTGCATTCAACCTTAGTATGAACCATAGTATAAACCGTATTTTATAAACATAATAGATATAGGTGTAGATATAACTTATATCTTATAAATAACTTCCTCTTGAGATATAAAAGCACAGCATAAACCTTACTTAAACATTATACAAATTTTAATATCAAAGTCAAATAATAAAGTGTAATAATAAAATGTTTTAAAAGAACCTTCCCAGTCAACAAAATGTTAGCAGATTGACATCAGATTGGCAGCCAATTCAATCAGAAACCCATACCAAAACCGTAGCCATCTGTATCCGCATTTGGTTCTTGTTTCGGTCACAGGGTTTATAAAACATACGTTGTTAACAGATTGGTAACAGAAACCGAGCAGGATCTGCGTAGCGTTTGACGAAAGATTGGTAACAGAAATCAAGCGGGATCCGCGCGGCACAATTTGAGGGCAGGATTGGCAGTAGAAACTGGGCAGAATCGCCGTTTCTATTTCTTCCGTTTTCGTTCCTTTTATTACAAAAGAGCGTAACACTAATATTAAGTATTAAGGTTTCTACACACTCGTAGACAAGAGAGCTCACTCCACTATCAGAAAGAAGATGAAATAATCTCATGCGGAGGTGTTAATTTATAATACCGAGTGTGGTTTTCTTCTTACGCGAAAGTGTCATGCCGCGTGTCCATCTAGGCAGATCGTTTCCAAGGAGAACAGAAAAGTCAAAATATTGTCAAGTTGACGTCATATTGACCAAATTTACGTCATTCTTTTGGTCATGATTAAAAATCTTAATTTCAGATAACTTAAAAATGACTTTTATTTACATTGAATTTATATTGCACTGGAGTTGGACTGGACAGTATATACATATATTCCACTATGGGGAAGTAAATAATTCTTATACGCGTTTGGAGGTAAAGTGTTCTTAAAGATTCGTATATCGTCGTACAATAGGATACGTCGCAAGTCCATTGCTTTATATTTCGAGATTTTATTAAAAAATCGAGGTCGACGATTAAATTCCATATGCACCCAAGGAATGTAACAAGTCTTGAGATAACTGATATTTAACTCCCCAGATAACAACGCGTAATAATCATATTTCATCACGTCATGATTTCCTAATACTGATAGACATTTGTCCCATTTTTCGTAATCATATCATGATGACACATGTTGTGAGTACAATGTAACATGTTCTTGAGGACAAACTGTGATATTAGATTTTACTGTTATTTTTGCATTCCCTGATAATCAGACATTTACAACAATCAACTATCGCGTTTTGTAAGTCAGATATGTGTCATGGATGTGATCATTATGTCATAATAAAACATGTCTAAAATTATGCTTGCCACCTGGCAAGAATAAACTCACAGCTGTCAAGGCTGGGTACGGAGAGTCATTATCAGCGCTATGCATTATTCTATTCCTGTGTTTTATGCAAAGGTATAATTGGAAGTTTTTGCAAAGCCGTATGCAAATAGACAGCAAATTGGCATCATCCTGACTTTTTGTTCTCCTTGGGCTGTAACTTAACATAGTTTACGACACACGATAATTTTATAGTCTTCAGATTCCAACGGATTGGCGCTTGTTTGACTTTAAAATGTAATTAAGACGCGTGGATATATTCAATAATTATCGTACATGCAGATGATATGAATATTGAATATATTAAGGATAGAGATGGCATTATAGACAAGTTTACGAAGATTGCGCAACAACGAATTGTTGCGCAATCTTCGTAATCATGGTCTTTTGAATTTAAAATTAGGCTTAATGCAATTAATGCTCTTATGGAAATTCTGAGGCATGTTCCACATTCACAATTTAAAACTTTGCCAAATGCGCTTCTAAAACCGCTGCTGAAACAATTACATTATCCAGAGGATCCTATTACCACTTTAGTGTATCGAACACTTTGAGAGTACTTCTGCTGCATTACAAAAGTATGTCTTTGAAAGTATCTGATATTAATTCATTAATTAACATCGATGGTTTGCCATATATCCAAGGTCAGTAGTTTCTGGCCAGTATTCTACTTTTAGACAATATTTTAAATCAAGTGCATATATGTATAGTCGGGCTGTTTTATGGTCAACAAAACTAAAAAAAATGCCAATAAACTCTTACAATCTGTGTCAAAATTAATACTATTAGTACAAACAGGTTTTTACTTATAATATATTATTCATCCGTTTAACTGTAATATTAAAGTTACTATTAAGGCCATCGTTTGTGATGGCCTCCCGCAAAATCTTTTATTTTAAATATTACAGGGCATAATGGCTACTCGAGCTGTGCTAAATGTACGATTTATGGAGATTACGTTAACTTCAAAATGTGCTTTCCTTATGAAAAAAAAGATCAAGTGCACTCAGAACTAATGAGGAGTTTATACCTCAAAGAGACTCTGACTATCATCAAGGAGAACCTACAAGTTTGCTGTCTGTGACTAATTTAGGATTAGTGTCGAACGTTGCTCTTAACTACATGCACTTGATTTGTTTGGAAGTAGTAAAAAAATGAATGAGTGGACCACTAGCTGTTCGCATTAATGCTCAAGCAAAAAATTAAATTATTCAAACACTTGTTGATTTAGGAAGTACAATGCCCAAAGAATTTTGAAGGAGACCTCGAAGTTTGAATAAAATAGCATACCGGGAAGTTATGGAATTTAAGCAATTTTTACTTTATACTGGACCAATTGTTTTAAAAACATGTTTAAATAGATACGTATATACACACTTTTTGGCTTTACATTTAGCTCTATCAATACTCATAAGTTCAACGCTAATAGTAAATAAAAACAATGTAGATTATGCAGAGAAACTGTTGTAACATTTTATCCAATTATTTGAGAAAATTTATGGCAAGAAATATACATCACTTCAGTACCAAAAAGATGATCAAAGAATCTCATGTGGATGTGTTATTATAATTTATTATATCGCGTATGGTTTTCTTCTTGCTAGAAAGTGTCATGCCGCGCGTCCATCTAGCGGGATCGTTAACAATATAAAGCGCCAGCAAACAACAGTTTGCTACCAACCTGTCGACAAGTTATGTCAGTAGATTCTATTGTACTTGGTTCCTGCTGCAATCTGTCGCTAAGTTTCGGCAGGGTCTGCTCAATAAATTTCTGCTGCCTAAAAATGTTATCAAGCTTTGATATATTTTTGTTGATGTTCTGCCGACATCATATGATGATATCAGATCCCGTAGGCAACCTGCAGTCTTTCTGCCTTCAAAACTTGTAGTGGGTATTTGACGAAATCTGCTCTGACAGATTTGGCTATGTGGGTTGTTAATGAGGAATGTATAGGATTTTCGTATTTATCTCATTCTACGGTAGATGATATCACCTCGAATTTAATATTATGATCGCTTATTTGCTGGATTATAGATGTTTTACCAAATGCAGCACCAGGAGTAAACACTCCTCCACTGTAAAAATATAATGATATAAATATTGAGAGTCTTTTCTTCGCCAGTGATTAATTGAAATAAAAACGTAATGGAAACAATTATTCGACGTATACTGGCGATACTTTATTAAATGAATTACACAAGGTTTCGACCGAAAATTCCGGTCCTTTTCGAATGAAAAGCGTCTATAATGATAAAAATAAATAACAATTAAGACGAAAAGTCCAACCTATAATTATAACTGTTTCATTTCAATTATTTACATTTAAAACTGGAGGTTTTAAGTTTTCACAAAATAACAATGATAAACTTGAAAGTTAAATGAGATAATACATGAATCACTTACTTGTCAGGCATTTTGTCAGCTTCATTAAGAATCGTAATTGCCGATAAGATCGTTACGATGCCAGAAAAATCATATCCTGAAAAATCACTGCTCAACTTGGTGATTACTTTCTTATTAGGTCGATCTGTGTGTTCGTCGGTTGGTTCAGCTAACTTTTCAGTCCATCCATAGGCTTTGAATATCATAGAAAAACAAACCGATTTCAGCATTCCCGGTTCAACTCTCTCATTGCTCGCCATACCGTACGAAAATAGAGACGGATACTGCAAATGTCGTATCACAACGTTTAATATTGTCTTAGCGATTACAGACAGTTTTATAGTTGCAAATACGTGCATACGTACTTTTAGAAGTAAATTACGAGTGTACTCTGTGCGACACATGCATAATATAATCATGAGGGCAATGTAAGTTATTAGAACATCAAAGAAAGACCTAATAATAAACGTACAAAATTTTAATCAATAGAAGATGAGAACGCCAATGTAAGGTCCGAGCGAGATGTTAGTAGTAGAGCTGTTACTTTTCATAACTTCGAAGCTTCGAAGATTTCGAAGTAATTCGAAGCTTCGAAGTCAACTTCGAAGTTTCGAAATCTTCGAAGCTTCGAAGTTCGAAGTTAACTTCGAAATCTTCGAAGCTTCGAATCTTCGAAACTTCGAAGTTCGAAGTTAAATTCGAAGCTTCGAAGTTTCGAAAATTTATTCGTGCGAGTGACGAATTTCTCCGACGAACACTAAAAATATTGTAAATAAAAAGTACTAATTTATACACTATATATTGAGAAATAGGTAATTACTTCTAAATTATAATTTTAAAATACTATAACATATAGATTACATATTTGTTTAAGATCGCGTAATTAAATCTTAAAAATTAGTACTTTTTATTTACAATATTTTTAGTGTTCGTCGGAAAAATTCTCGCACTCGCACGAATAAATTTCGAAGATTCTAAGCTTCGAAGATTTTGAAACTTCGAAGTCAACTTCGAAGCTTCGAATTACTTCGAAGCTTCGAATCTTCGAATATCGAAGCCTTCGAAGGAAATTACCAGCCCTAGTTAGTAGCCCGACCCGCGTGTCGTTTCTTTCGGTCATGAAATGCAAAAGGCTTCATGTTGTGGCCGACAGTCTTGCTCACATCTTGCTCGGACCTTATATTGGCGTTCTCATTTCCTATCGATTTATATCATAACTTCGGATTTCATTGTTTGTGCAAAATTTATTAAAAATTATTTGTAAAGATTCATGGTGTTTCTATCGGTACTTATTGCATACTGACTTGAACGTGACGTAAATTTGAACTTGCGCAGGCCTCTCTTTGTACTTGTCATATAAGAATCGCTGTGTACGAAGAGCTAGACTGTGATCAGGACCCACATACGGTAGAGACCATCCTTCCGAAACATCGCTTCGGTGTGGCATACTTCTACAATAAACGAAACAGCGGGATTATTAACACTGCTCATCATCAATCTAATTGAATTTACTTACTTTTATAACGTGTAATTAATATATTATTGTTTCGTATAAATTTTAAATACTTGGTATATGTATAAACACGCGTATAAAACTGTCATTTATATCTGCAACTTAAAAAGTGACAAAGTATAACTAAACTATGTGTATGAAGTAAAGAGAGGTACTTTGATGTTAATTGCGGCGTAAATTTGGGTAGTTTGGTAGGACACAACTTAGTATGTAATTCCTGTAATTTGCTTCGAGCTGCAAAATTGTATATCATAGTGTCCCAAGAAGTATGATTCAAAACTGGGCTTTCCTTGTCGGTGCTGTGTGACCAAAACTTCATGTATACTTCGACAGAATTGATTTCTCCATCAAATTTCTGTTGTGTGAAAATGATTCCTAAATCGCTAGGAATACAGATACTACCACAAGCGCTTACTACGTAAATGCCAGCTTCTTGTGCTGCCTGGTTGCATTCTAATTCTATTTTTGCCGGAAACTAGAAATACATAATATCATAAATTATTACTCAAAAGTGTTTTATTATTATTTTTTACTACCTCATCTTCAGCAGTTACGTCAATGTGATGAGTGCGAGTAGCAATGCACGCTTTAACAACTGGTTCTCCATAAAGTCCATATGGGCCACAACAATTAATGAGTACTCTTGCTTGCTTTGTCATTTTTCTGAGAGATTCCTCATCTTTTATGTCAGCCAGAATAATGGGTACATTCTCTGAAAAAATATATACATTGTATCAAAGTTAATAATAAATCAAGTGGCTCCCTGTCTTTTGGAATAATTAACTCCAAGTCTTAAATGTACCAATATCTGAAGCAAATTCTTTAACGACCGCCTGTAAAGCTTCCTTCCTGCGACCAGCAATACCAAATTTCACATTCTGCTCCTTGCATATATGTGTCGCATGCTTCACTACATATTTTCCAGTGTATCCAGTGGCACCAAATATTACTATGTCTAAACGATCAGCCATCTTTCTGCAATGCAATCATTGTGATAGTGTACGAATTGCGATAATTTTTTCTCAAAAAAAATTTATTTCTTTAATTTGAATATAATACAATAGTAGTACTTGTAACTAACTTATACAAGAAAAAAGTGGACTGTCAAGAGCCCAGTAAAAACCCTAACGTCGAATCGACGTCAATGCGGTCGATACCGCGTCCCAACCGTCAGTTTTTGAAAATAGTCATAAATTTTGCAACTTAATTTTTTGTAATAAATTATTACGTTTATAATATTCTGAATACTTTTAACATCTTATTGAAGAGAACTGCCAAGTTTCAGTCGTTTGATGGAAACAACGTTGAAACGACGTACATAGTACAATTAATTATTTTACCAGCCACGACCATTACCGTATCTCGACATGGTGATCTCAGAAACTTTGAGAATGTAACCCGCCATTGGGATACGTAAATCGCATAACTATTCAAATTTATAAAGCTCCGGAGTATGATCTCGTAATTGAGAAAGTTACACCAGTTTACATCTCAATGCTTCGCGTACACTATGATCCCGAATATTTCCCCAGTCCCAATAAATTCGATCCGGAACGATTTACCGAGGAGAACAAACGTAACAGACCGGCATGTGTCTATTTTCCATTCGGAGGAGGCCCATATGCGTGTATAGGTAAGATAATTTTAATATAATCGCTATACATACATATTAAGTTACTAATATATTATTTCTTCTTTGTAAATATAATATAAAATATTTTGCAGGCAATCGCTTCGGACTTTTGCAAGCGAAGTTAACACTGCTTCAGATCTTGAGCAAATACGAGATGATACCGTGTGCAAAAACTTCGATACCAGTGGAAATTGATCCACCAGGAGCCATGACTGTGACGTTAAATGGTGTAATGTATCTCAATCTCCGAAAAATTAATACCAAGGCTACTTAAAACTTGACAGAATATTTTTGAGCCAAAAAAATATGTATAATTACTTCTTTACTCTAAAATCAGTGCTCGGAATTATTTGCACTTCTGGCCGGATTTTTTAGACAAACGCCTACTTTTGTCATCTTGCCGCGCGCACTCCAGCGACGGTCAGGTTACTTCTCGATAGTGGGGCGTGTCTCAGAAGCGGCCCTGTTTCGCTAAGCTATCTGAACTTTCAAGGATTGGATTTCCGAGAATTTCAAACTTCAAATCGCGAAAATCGCAAATCTCGAAAACTGACAAAGTATCAGGAGAACATAATCCACAAAGAGGAGACACTATCTAAAATTCCACGAATTGGATTTCCAAGAATTTCCAAATTCAAATCGCAAAAA